CCCCAAAACCCCAAAACCCCAAAACCCCAAAACCCCAATAAGTTTATTAAATCATTAACTTATTTATCCAAAATGGAGCCAGCAGTTAAGACGAAGGTGAATATTCTTCAGAATATTTCAAAGAATCCTTCTGTGACGAGGAAGGAAATTAAGGTACAGAAGAAGACGTCCAGGAATAGGCTTAGCTTGAGGTCTTCAGACAGACCTGTCAGAGAAAAACAGAAATAAGTATCAGAGAAAACTACTAGATGCAAAGAATACCAAAGCGAAAAGCTACGCAGAAAGCATCCGGACTCAGAGCAATCAGAAATAAGGATAGAAAATTTAAAATCTCTTCACCTGAACCTGATTTATTTAAGCCTCAGTTGAAGTTTAGGGATGCAACTGAAATTTAGTTCATCAATAAAGGTAAGTTGGAATCTAATAGACAATGTAAACTTAAATATAAAGGATCCTCAGATCTAATTATACTAACCTTTTTATGAAGTCAAGAACAAAGATCAAATTAAACATTGAAAAACGATATAAACCGAAAGGATACCTCTCCTCTAAAAAGAATTCCAAAGATTTGAAAGGATCAAAGAAGAAAAACAGCAAAGCAACGATTAATAAGCCTATATCTGTAAATTTATTTCAAAACAACTCACCATGTTCAAAATCTTCCCAAGATGTGAGCATTCATCAAATAAAGGACAAAAGTGAAGATCTACAGTCTCCTAAGGTAACTTCCTTAAAATATCATAACTCTTCTCCTATAACTTCAGTGTAATTTATCCAGTCTATAAACCCTAATTCTCACTACTAAAATCAATTTATTGCTCATCTCTTCAATCTCCTCTCCATTTCTCCTAACTCTCTTCAACAGGTCACTTATAAATAAGAAATCTAAAAGTAAGCAAAACCTCCCTTACCCTACAGGCATCCAGCTACACCACAGTGCTAAGAAGGAACCTCCAGCTGGCCAAGACCAGCTGGTACCAGCTGGACAGGGAGTTCAGAAAGCACCGAGTAGTAAGAACTCACCGAGGGATAGGAAGAAAAGGAGGGAGAGGAAAGAGGGAAAGGTGAAAGGGAGTAGTGGTAAGGGAGCAGAGGAAGGGTGTGATATAATTGGTAAGCTATTTGAACAGAAAGAAATTCACCATTTATCTTCAAACCACGCAAAGAATGAATCCTATAGCTCTATTGATCCCTCTGTTATCAATAAAATTTCTGTCAATTTAAACTATCAAGTTGCTTCCTAAGATCAAATTAGATTGATTCCTGGGGATTATTACTTCTTAGAACAGTTTAAATCAAAATCCAAAATAAAATGCCTAAAATACAACTTTATAAATGAAAATATTGATTATCTAACCCTGTTTTCCAGTCAAGAGCTTCAACTTAGCCACAACAAATGACAATATTAAAATTCCAAAAGCTAAAAAGACCCCTAAAACGTCCCTCACAATCAGGGGTAAGTCCGTAGGAGCCCAATTGACATTTGGACATGCTCTAAACACAACCCAGCGTGCTGAGGGAAAGCAAAAATCCTTCAGACAGAAGCTCAAGAACACTTTTATCAAAATCAAAGATCCAAAATCCCAAGAATTTATTGAAAAGAACATCTACACATTATACCAAAAATACAAAATATGTGAATTTGAGAAGATTTATGACGGCCTAGACCTGTCTAAGACCTTACTTGAAACTATAGAGGCCAATAACGAAGCTATCAAGAAGGCCAATATGCTGAGCTTCTTCTTCATAAATTTTTACAAGAACTTTGAGCAGAATATCATTCACAGTAGGTCATAACTGACAGCTCTAGAAAAACCCAAGAAAGCATACCAGGAATGCCTGAAGTTGTATGATCAACACTCTGTGAACACACTTGACATGAACATTGAGGAGTTTGAGAAATGAAATATACTCAATGAACGTATTTTACAGGAAAATCCAGTGGATAACATCAACACTTGCCACAAGAAACTAGTTTCATTTGAGCAAGACCTCAAAACATACTGTAGGCAGATTGGCAAAAACTCTATGGCTAAATTTAAAGAGGAAGAGAAATATAACTCTCCCAAAGGAATCAAGGAAGCTAAGTCTACGGATAAAGATCTGTTTGAAATCCCTCAAAAACTTAAGGAAACACCAGCTTTTAACAGAAAGGAATATAACAGTGTGTCTCGATCAATGTGATGGAACAGCATGAAGAGAGATGGTTCTGACATGAATGAGCAAAGCTCAAACGCAGGGTATTCCTCCCTGATGCTATCAGATCGAGGCATTGAATCTAAACTTAACCGGCTACAGGAGGAAATTGGTAAAAGAGTTCATAACGAATCCATGTTAAAATCTAGCATAAAAACACTAACTACTGAATTGAATGAAGTTAAGAAGCTACTAACTCATGATAATGAATATAACGACTTGAAGGAGTCTATTTCTAGTATTTCACAGGCTATCTTCAACACTAGCAAGGATATTCATATAAAAGATGAGCATCAAATGCTCTTGAAGAATCTGATCGGAGATGATCTGAGGGAAAGAATCGGATCTCTTGAGGAAAAACTCAAAACATATGAGCTAGAGGTAGAACAACTACAACAGAAAATGCAGAAAGAGATAAGAAGGAACAACCAAGCTTATACTATATGTAAGAAATATATTGGCGGCATAAAGACTTGTCATAAGATGGCTCAAGAAGATACTAGCATTATCGGTTTCTTATATAACCTCAGTACCGAGGCTGATGAGGATTTGGAGAAAATTGACGAATTTCACCTCCAATCATATCAAAATAGTGTAATATTGAAATCTTATGGGTCAAAGCAAATTAATTCAGCTAAGGATCAGAGTATTGAAGATATGCTTCAAAAAGAACTTTTAGAAAAAGACAAGAAGATTCATAAACTAGAGCATGAGTTGAAACTAATGAGTAAATCAAAATCAAGAGCTGGAGGTAAATTAATTCGTTCCAAATTTTCTGCCAGCCACACAGGAAATGACCTCCATACCGAAGAAAGCGAGGAGTCCAAATCTTTAAAATCCGTCGGCTACATAACTGGTGTCTCAAACTCTCTACGTCTCCCTATGAGTAAATGCTACGATAAAAAGTTACGCAATCACTATCCTCCAAGACCCAAAAAGATGCTCAACCTTCAAGACGAGCTAGAACAGGAGCCTGACCCTGAGCCTGCCAGGCTCACTGAGTCCAATGGAATAATTTCTGAGTTCTAGCCCAAAATCCTTGGTTTCTTCGTAACTCATTATTTTCAATAAAAATATCTAAATTGAATTCAATCTGGGCTCTTTTGTTCGGGGTTTTGGGGTTTTGGGGTTTTGGGGTTTTGGGG